TCAGCAGTCAAGCATATGGCCTTGGGAGTTGCTGGTCTAGGATGTGAAGATGCTTTGGTCCACCTGCTGAACTATGTCTGGCCGAACATTTTTGAGACATCCCCACATGTTATTAATGCTGTAACGGAAGCTGTCGAAGGAATGAGGGTTGCACTGGGAGCTTCTGTTATTCTCAACTATTGTCTTCAGGGACTGTTCCATCCGGCGAGAAAGGTCAGGGAAGTGTATTGGAAGATCTACAATTCCCTCTACATTGGTGCTCAGGATGCACTCGTGTCTGCTTATCCCATCCTGGAAGATGAAGGAAATAATACATTCAGTAGGCCTGAATTGCATATGTTTGTCTGATTTTGTCTGTCAAACGAAGAACTAATGTATCCTTACTGAAAACGGATTTACTCTGTTTATTTTGGGTGTTTCTTTGAGATTTAGAAGTGTCTGCTTAATCGATTATAAACTTCGGTAATATTGTCATAGCTTGCTGTTGGATCCGCTTGGTCTTATTGCCAAATGCTCGTTCTGTTTCACTTGTGGGATTGTCTACGTGCTTGACCTTATTTCCCTGTGGATTGTGTCCGGTAATGTTTGTTCACTATCATCATTTCAGTCAGTTGTAAGGATGTTAATGCTATTAAATTTACTTAGATTGCAAAAACTCCAATGTGCATGCAATAGCTTTGATGATTATCTATAAATATTTGAAATCAGCTTTTAAATCCAGTTGTTAAGTCTAAATACTGAATATACTTTAACCAAACAGTCCAGCTGTATCTTACCTGTGATAAAAAGAGGTCCGTCCTCTGTTCAGCATCAGTGTCGACTAAAATTAATCGAATTGGCATTGTTTTGACGTGGTGTTCTCATAGTTCTGAACCTCATTTGCTGGGTGATTTCTCTGGGCGATTCCAAGAACCCCCTTTCCAGAATTGATTGTTTGGTCTCTGATCGATTTACCCCTTCCCATATTTGGTCGTTTGGTTATTAATTTCTGTCGGCAATCTCAAGAACTCTTCTGCAGATTTGATTGTTAGGTTTCTCATCGATTTACCCCTTTCATGACTTGATTGTTTGGTCTCTTATCGATTTCTCTAGACGGATGGAAGAAATCATTTTTGGATCCTATCGGTCCAAAACATGGTAGATTTAGCTTCAATTACAATAAAAGTTTCATGCTTGTGTTGTCAATTACTTAGCTGAACAGACTAAAAAATGATTCGAAGCCCACATCTTTCTTGTCATTGTTCATTTGCTTTTCTTTCTCTTTTTACTTCTATTTTCCAATTTTGATTTTTCGATGCTAAACATATTTGCAGATTCACAGTTGGAGAGTATAGAAGGATGAGGCTCACATGGACAGAAACATTTCGTTAACTGGTAATTTGAGACCAGATCCTCCTTTGGCATGATGTTTAACCTTAGCGGTTATTGGAAATCTATTTATTTCACTTTTGTTTATTTTCTACGGTTGCAGAGAAAACCTTGAAAGGCACAAAAAATAGTCCTTTTAGTGTCCTGTTCGAGCTATAAAGGGACAATCAAAATGAAATTAGCGGTTAATATTCAGCACTAAAATACGACTAAATAAAGTTCAGAAATATGTAAAACACCATATAAAATCAAATATTGAAGATATTTAATTTAATAGTTTGAGCATGCCCTTATTATTATTATTATTATTATTATTATTATTATTGAAGTTAGATCCTTACTTGACCCAATTGTCGATTCGGAAAAATCATTGGGTTTTTGGATTAATGGTTCAACCGAAGGGTCAGTGGTTCAATCGGTGTGTCATTGTTATGTTTTAATTTTAATTAAATTATATTTTTCAAACAAAATAATGACCATTTTCCAAATTTAAATATATATCTTCCTTACATTCTTTACAAAGAAATGTGCATGTGCCATAATGGTTAGAAGAGTGATATTACTTTATTGAAGCCGGGGTTCGAATCCTTGCCATACCAAATTGAAGAAAAAATTTTGCACTACACTTCGGCAACAACTGGTTCACGTTTGAACCAGTCCCGATTTCCCCTTAAACCCATCTGGACCGGATGGCTATTGAATAGTCTAACCGGTTTCACTTGTTGACTCGAGCAATTAGTGTAAACGGACAAAACCACTATCCGGTTCCTGTGTAAATCGGCCGGTCCGATTTTAATAACTATGCTTGAGTATGCTTTCAAATTTCTCAGTGAACCCACCAACAAGCGGGCTCATTTTGGCTGCAAAATATGTTATACTCAGGCCATGTTTAATTGCACAAATTTTCCATAATGGTAGAAAACTTTTCATTTTCCAACTTTTTGCATGTTTGATTGGTCAAATTTTCTTAGCAATTGGTTTTCTTGGCACGTGATTCCCTCTTATTTTTTTTTTTTTTTTTTTTTTTTTTTTTTTTTTTTTTGATTTTGTTTTTTTTTTTTTTTTTTTTTTTTTTTTTAAGTTTATCATATTTGACACTTTATTTTTTGTCATTTTTTAAATTTATGTCACTTTTTGAACATCTTTTTTTTTTTTTTTCCAATCAAAATTCCAACGCTTTGTTCAATTATTGTCACGTTTTTTAGTATTTGTCACTTTTTTGAATTTTTGTCATTTTTTTCCCTTGGTTTTCATTTTTTTTTTGTCACTTGCTTGAGATTTTTATAACTTTTTGGAGTGACAAACATACTTAACTTTAAGAAGTAATATTGTGTGTGATATTTAGCCCTTGTTTGAGTCACATTATTGAAATGAAAATACATTTTTGAATAGTGTGTTAATGAAAAATGTGTGGTTAAAAAATAAAGAAAAATTTTGAATTTGTGTGTAATATTATTTTATTAAAAAATGTGTGATTGAAATTATGTCAAATCACTATTAAAGAATATATATATTTTTTTCAAAATAATGTGGCTCAAATAGGACCTTAATTTTACACAGTATTGTTAGGAATAATTAGGTCCATTACTTTGAAAAAAAGAAATAATTAGAATAATACGCTTCAACTTAATTATATCTCTAATTATAGTATTAATTACGCTTTCCTCTAACTCATCTGGAAACACAGGCGGGCAAACCCTTTCCTCCGATCAAATTTTATTCACTTCTTAAAATTTTTATTATTGAAATATTTTCGTTTGATTCTGTATTTTTTGTTACAATTATCCATATTGAGAGATTCAAAAATCTATTAGAAGCTTACAATGCGATCATGATAAATATGTTACGGACGATATTTAAAATAAAAAATTATCTTCCATAAATTATTAAACATAAAACTATATTGATTAATTATTTCTTTTTATTTTTTTCCTAATCGATATCAGCGTAGATATTTATGAAGTTTAAACCATAATTATTAAGTTCATTTCTTGTGGCCATTTTCGATTTGTAATTATGAACTAATCATTTGCTAAATTTAAATTCAGAAGATGCATTTCAAAGTTTGTCATAAATACTTCGATAAGAAAATAAAAACCTCATTTAAAGAGTGAAGAAACACAGAAATATGTAAAACACCATATAAAATCAAATATTGAAGATATTTAATTTAATAGTTTGAGCATGCCCTTATTATTATTATTATTATTATTATTATTATTATTGAAGTTAGATCCTTACTTGACCCAATTGTCGATTCGGAAAAATCATTGGGTTTTTGGATTAATGGTTCAACCGAAGGGTCAGTGGTTCAATCGGTGTGTCATTGTTATGTTTTAATTTTAATTAAATTATATTTTTCAAACAAAATAATGACCATTTTCCAAATTTAAATATATATCTTCCTTACATTCTTTACAAAGAAATGTGCATGTGCCATAATGGTTAGAAGAGTGATATTACTTTATTGAAGCCGGGGTTCGAATCCTTGCCATACCAAATTGAAGAAAAAATTTTGCACTACACTTCGGCAACAACTGGTTCACGTTTGAACCAGTCCCGATTTCCCCTTAAACCCATCTGGACCGGATGGCTATTGAATAGTCTAACCGGTTTCACTTGTTGACTCGAGCAATTAGTGTAAACGGACAAAACCACTATCCGGTTCCTGTGTAAATCGGCCGGTCCGATTTTAATAACTATGCTTGAGTATGCTTTCAAATTTCTCAGTGAACCCACCAACAAGCGGGCTCATTTTGGCTGCAAAATATGTTATACTCAGGCCATGTTTAATTGCACAAATTTTCCATAATGGTAGAAAACTTTTCATTTTCCAACTTTTTGCATGTTTGATTGGTCAAATTTTCTTAGCAATTGGTTTTCTTGGCACGTGATTCCCTCTTATTTTTTTTTTTTTTTTTTTTTTTTTTTTTTTTTTTTTAAGGGATTAGTTTTCCTATGAGTTTGTTGGTTTTTGGTTTTCCAACCCCCTCCCTTTTTTTACTGCAATTGAAACAAATTCTATCTATGAATTGTAACAAATTCTATCCATAGAAAACAAAGGCAAACGAATATCAAAAGATTCAAAATTTCAATATTTTTCAGGTAGAAAATTATACCAATCAAACACATTTAATTGACAATTTCTAGTAAAACAAGTTTTAGGTAATTCAATTCTCTGAAATTTGTTTTCTTTCCACCCATATTCTATTCTTGCAATCAAACATACCCTTAGTCTAATGAGCAATTGTATTGGGAGATGGGCATGTTAAACTCGTCGAGCCAAGCAGAGTTAGCACGTGCTCCCTTGACTGAAACAGGTCTTGGCTCGCCCCCATGAACTCACCCCTTGGTGGGGCGAGCTAAACAGGTTCACGACTCTGTTCGTCCTTAAATTTGTTTGTATTTTTTTTTTTTTTTAATTTGAACTGAAAATTGCTCTATAACTTATCGAAGTATAGCAAAGGTGTAAATTAAAATAAATAAATAAACATAGAAATTATATTTCCTCAAAAGAATTATGATGTAAAACCATCCTCATCCGACTGATCCGAGCTTAGGATCGACTATAATACGTAGATATAGTTAAAACAGCATTTCGTGTACAATTTAAAAAACAATTGAAATGTCAATGTATAGTAATAAATTAAAAGTTAGTGTACCAAAAAAACCGTGAAAGTTATAATTGCTGAAAATCTTCACCAATTGTGTTAAATATTTTGTCAGTCCTTCGAGCACATTAGAGTATCGAATGTATCTTCTTTCAACTTGCTTCTTTCGTCTGACACAATCTTATCCCTACGCTAAACGTAGCTTTTGATGCGTACAATTGACCTAGAGACCTTAGTAGATCATGTGAGTCAAAGATAATATCATATGTCATTCTTATTTGTTCGTCCTTGTGCGAGAATATCAAAATTAATTATTCCTTCTCCACTTAAAACACTAAGAATGTGGTACGAAAATTATCTGACTAATTCTACTGGGATTTTGTCTGCTGTTACTATTAGTACTAGAGCTGGTTTCATTATCTCATAAGCGACTAACCGGTCATTGGACTGAAAATCATGATCAAAATTGTATGAATGCCAGCCTAATACAAATTAAATAACTTATCAGAATTAACACATGATTGTATCATGAGAGAAGTAGAGTTTCACCTGTTACCTCTATCCATTGCAAGCATCCTGTTTGGGAGAGTTCGCATTTACAAATGTACTCGCAAATGCTTGTTCACGAGATGGAGAAATAGAAATTGTTTAATTTTCGTGAGTTGTCATGCGATATACTTAAAGCCATCTTGCATAATCAAATAAAAAATATGACAAACATAATTCATGTGAAAATTGCACCAAAATTTGGATTGAGTTGGTTAATCTATTCTATAATATTTGTGTAAACACTAGCATTATCAAAAGTGAGACTACGGACCTAATCTTTTCATCAATATTCTCGTAGTACGCCCATTAAACATTAAAAATATTTTGTGTTGTGCAAAATTCAATGACTTTTTAAATGCAATTATTTATTTTTGCATGATGTAAAACTTATAAATGTAATAAACGGCTATGCAAATATAGCCTTATGACTGCATTTTCTTAAATCATCGATAATTCTGTGGATAGCGGTAACTCAGCACCGACTACGAACATAACCATGCCTTCCCGCATTGTTTTTGGTTTATGAATCCAGTTAGCAAGAACTGCTCTAAAAGCTCCCTCTTTGCTTAATATGACTATTGTCGGCATCCTCCACATGAGCAAGGTATTTTTTGTAGGGTATGGTGTACACATAGCATTCCTCCTCACAAGGAAAGGGCCCACATACAATAAAATATTCTTGGGCCCCCTCCATGTGAGGGGAGTGTAATGCATTGTGTACACCATAAGTTGTACACATAGCATTTCCCTCTTTCGTAATGCCAATTGTACTGTGTTGGAGCAATTTTTGGTTACAAAGTGAAGTCCTTTCCCCAAAAATTACAAAACGCTTTCCGGATAGGCTTTTCATTCTCATATGTCTTCTTTTTGTAAAATATTGTCAACACTCAAAGGTTGGCTTACTTTTATTCTTTCATCTCTTAGTAAAGTGTTTCTTTCAACTCATCATGAGGCTCAACTGTTAGTAGTAACATTTTATATAGTTGGAAGATCGCGAGTTTGAGAAAAATTGTAGACGGGATAATTGAAACTATCGAAGAATTGGCTACACCATCATCAGGATACAAGAATCCAATGTAATTCATAATGATTTTTGTAGAAAATTTAAGAATAA